GATAAAATCCCTAGTTACAATGAAGGCTGCAAAGGCAATTTAAAAAGGAAACAAGAAGATGATCTTACAAAATTCATTTTTTATACAAATGGACACTGTCTGAATGTCTCAGTTCATCAGTTTATTTAGCAAGCCTACCCTCCTTTGATATGTGACATAGAACTTCTGAGTAAAGTAGCAATTCTGCTTGTTAAAAAATATTGCTCTTGCTGGGCGCTGGTGGCTCACGCCTGTAATCCTAGATACTCAGGAGGCTGAGATCTGAGGATCATGGTTCAAAGCCAGCCCGGGCAGGAGAGACCGTGAGACTCCTATCTCCAATAAACCACCAGAAAACTGGAAGTGGCGCTGTAGCTCAAGTGGTAGAGCGCTCGCCTTGAGCTGAAGAGCTGAGGGACAGCGCCCAGGCCCAGAGTTCAAGCCCCATAACTGACAAAAAAAAAAATTGCTCTTTGGGAACTACTTCAATTTCCAGGTGTCCAACGTGATCTGATACCCCTAAAACTCAGGATACTTTTTTGTTGATGGAGTAGGGTGGGGGCACTACTATGGTTTGAATTCAGGTCTCATGCCTGGTAGGCTGGTGAGATACTGGTGAGTCATGCTTCCATCCCAAAACTCAGGAATTTTATTGTCATTTAAAAATGCCAGTGTATTAAGGCAGAAATATAAGTTAAGGCATGGTGATACAGTACCTCCTTTTAGAAACTATCTTTGATATCTGTGAAGTCCTTCTTGTCTTTTATTATTTTTACTTATTGTAGAATGCACTAATCATTTGTTTCACACATTCACCATTGAACATTTGAATATTACATATTAATTTAATTTTTTCCATACCATAAATTTCTGAAGTATCTGTAATGTTTCTTTATTGGCCCTTTATCCATATATTCTTTTGTTAGATCGTCTGAAAATATTGAAAAATGTCAATTTTCCATTCATGCCCTGTTTTCTTCCTGTTGCTTACTTCTTCCAATTGGCATTATGGAAATTCCAGCAAATTTAATGTTCTAGACTGAGTGATTTGATTTGAGAGAGAAGACTCTTATGTGACTCAGTTTGTTTTTTTTTAAGGAGATTGTAATTAACTGTTGTCTTCAAACAGAATTTGCAGAATTTTGTGGGAACTTTAAAACTGTAAGATTTAGTGTTTCTCCTAAGATTTGGCCTAAAATGTGGTGCTAAGAAGGCAAAGAAATTCTTTAGGAATGATCTACAGAATATTAACATACATTTGTAGCTACATTTGCAGTTTTTGTAGAAATTGCTTGAGATACAGACTCAGGTCAAGAGATCTGCATTTTAATTTTTGGGTACTTTTTATTTGTACTTGAGTATCTTTCAGTATTGAAAGTAACATCACCACTACATATTGAATCTCATGAGGCAACTCTTACCACCCATTCATTTTACATAGACTTTAGCAGATACTAAAAATTGTTAGCACATTATTTTGTTATAGTCCTAATGTTACCTCAAAGTCAGCCTAGGTAATCAACCTCATTCCTTCAGTCTGGCAAGACAAGAATTCAGGCAATATTAGAACATAGTGAAAGTGATAGGGAAGTTTATTAGGAAAGATATATGACAGAGAAAGGAGATTATGTGTCATGTTGGAAAGCTGGCACTTTAGTTCATCTTTAGTCACCTTCAGACATGAGCATTAAAAAGGAAGGTCAAGGGACAAAGGTATGCATAGTTTGTGTCTTCATTGTAGGTCTGGTCTAGATTGTCATTATCTCCATTCTAGTTCTCTGGGGGTCCCTAGAAGTTGGTTGTTACTGCTGTCACCACGTCAGGGGAGCAATCTGGTTCTCATGAGATGATTACTGTGGCCTCAGGGTGCAGCCAGATCATTATAGGTAATTATCCTCCCTTGCAGGCAGTTGATGTGTCTTGTAAGGTTCTATTACTCCTTAAGTATAGTTTTAGTTCTTTGTTCATAAAGATATTACCAGTCAATCCTGTTTTTTCTAGAACCCAAAGTGTTTGAAGAATGACTATTGAGAGAAAGACTTAGAACAGTGACAAATACACAATGGATGCCAGGCCTTTGGGGTTTGAATACTTATTGGTCACATGACAAATTCCTATCCCCAGGACCAGTCTGTAGGGATGAGTTCAGAAGTTTAATTACAGTATTCTTTTCTGAGACCTTGTGATCTCATCTTCCATTATATGTTCCTTTTGCATTTTCCCATGGTCCCATAGCTAGCTGAACCTATCATTAAGAAAAGAAAAAAAAATTCTTGTTATTAGTTACACTGTGTATTTCTTTTTATTTCTTTTTTTTTTTTTTTTTGGTCGGTCATAGGGCTTGAACTCTGGGCTTGGGCACTGTCCCTCAGCTCTTCAGCTCAAGGCAAGTGCTCTTCCACTTGAGCCACAGTGCCACTTCCAGTTTTCTAGTGGTTTATTGGAGATAAGAGTCTCATGGACTTTCCTGCCTGGGCTGGTTTTGAACCGTGATCCTCAGATATCAGCCTCCTCAGTAGCTAGGATTACAGGTGCGAGCCACCAGCACCCAGCTTGTGTATTTCTTTTTCAATCTAACCATCAGCTCTTCATATGTAAAATTCATAATAGTAATTAATATATTTTGTACATATACTGGAATTTGAGTTTGAACCCAGGGCCTCAAAAATTCTTGCTTTTTTTTTTTTTTTTTGCTCAAGGCTTACAACTTGAGCCAACCTCTTATTTCCTTCCCCCACCCCTTTCTGGTTAATTGAACATAAGAATCTGGGACTTTTCTGTGCTGGCTGATGTTGAGCCAGGGATCCTCAGATCTGGTCATCCTAAATGGCTAGAATTATAGGTATGCGCTACCAGTGCTCAGCACATTGTTGGATATCATTCATTCATTCATTCATTGCAGCTGGCAAGAAGTTGGATTTATGATTGAGGAAAGTGCAAACCACTTCATTTTTTGGGATTTAAATCTTCCCTTTTCCTTCCAGACATTGGCAGTAGAACTCTGTTTTCATTAAAGTATACCATGTTCCTTTTGACAGATCATGGTCGTTGGTTATTTTACTTTCTTCCCTTCCCTTCCCTTCCCTTCCCTTCCCTTCCCTTCCCTTCCCTTCCC